CCTTGGGACTTACAATGGACTTAAAGCCTCTTAATTGTAAGAATAAACTCCTGTTTGTTAAGGCCATCCCATTTGTGGTATATTTCTTGTCAGAGCAGCGTTAGGTAACTAGAACACTGTCCAATTGCTGCAAGGGTTTTACATGCCTTATTTGCATAGGGGAGCTCTGGTAGCACAGTGCCTAAGGCACTTGACTGCTAACCAGAAGGCTGGCAGTTCAAACCCACCAGCCACTCCTCGGAAGGAAGAGAAGACGGGGCAATCTGCTTCCGTAGTGATACTGCCTTGGAAACCCAAGAAGGGGTCACTGTGAGTCGTCCGACTCGATGGCGCATGACAACAACAACATTTGCATAGTAAACTGTCCACTCCTTTCGCAAGATTATGGCCTAGCAAATCATCTTGGCAGAACTACAAATCCAGGGTCAAAAAGGCCATATATAGAGAGAAACTGGTTGCACTACAGGGGCCTAGTCAGAACACTACCTTGACACCTGAGTTAAGGCCTCTCATATGTAATTATCAAGAGAGTTGTTTACTTTTTTTAGGAGCCTTATCTCTCAAAAATGAGCCCTGGTGTTAAAATAATTAAGCACTTGACTGCTAACTGAAAGGTCCACCCACCAGCCACTTTGTGGGAAAAAAGACCTGGTGATTTGTATCATAAATATTTCAACCTAGGAAATGCTATGGAGCAGTTTTACTCTGTCATATAGGGTTACTATGAGTAGGCATCACTTTGACAGCAAATAGCAACAATCTGTAAACAGACTGTAAAGTCCCATAGGCTTCTTCTAGACTTCAGATGCCCAGTATACATCCTCACGCTAGAATTCATAATTAAACATCAAAGATTGATATTTTTGTATTTATACATATATTTGTTGTTAGTCGCCATCAAGTCCATTCTGACTCATAGTGATCCCACATGTGCAAAATAGAACTCCATAGGATTTTCAAGGCTGTAACCTTTCGGAAGGAGATCGCCTGGCCTGTCTTCTGAGGCATCACTGGGCAGGTTCAAACCTGTAACCCTTTGGCCAGTAGTCAAGTGCTTAACCATTTGCACCACCCAGGGACACCTTATCTTAAAATAAATTCAGTCCAAGGTCAGATAGTAACATGAGTCTTAGGTCTCTGTCCTTTATTTTCTTCATCTGTTACATTTTAATATTTCATAGGATTGTTGTGATGCTTACATGAAATGTGTATAGAGTATGTTATTAGCTGCCATCAAGCTGGCCCCCAACTCATAATGACCCCATGTGTACTGGAGTAGACCTATGCTCCATAGGATTTTCAATAGTTGATTTTTCTGAAGTAGATTGCCAGGCCTTTCTTCCAGGGTGCATCTGGGTGGACTTAAACCTCCAACCTTTCAGTTAGCAGCTGAGTGCAATAAACAAATTCAACATGTCCAAAGCAAATCATCCGCTGCTGCATCCACCACGATCACTACCAGACTCTTTCCCTCTGTGTTTCTTCTCACCCTCTTGTTTCTCCTTTGCACAAGCCTTTTTTTCCATCTGTATTTGCTGCCTTGGCTAGTGTCATCTCCATCTGCCCAGTTTCCCAAGCCAGAAATTTGAAAGTTAGTCAAAACATCCCACTCTCTAGGGAGGTGAGAACTAGCACAGGAACAGACATATGCACACCCATGTTCATCCCAGCACTATTTACAACAACAAAAAGATGAAAACAACCTACGTGCCCATCAGCGGAAGAGTGGTTGACCAAACTATGGTACATAAACATAATGGAATGCTACGCACCACTAAAGAATAATGCAGTCTGCAAAACACTGCATAATATGGATGAACTTAGAGGACATTATGCTGAGTGAAATAAGTTAATCACAGAAGGACAAACATAGTATTTGTTGTTGTGGAGGGTCAAGGAAAGGTTTATATATAGAGGGAAACTTTCTTTGTTGCTTGCCAGGAGTGGGAAGGGAAGGGAGGGAACACTGCAAGAAAAAAAAATTCATCAACTCATGTAACTTTAGTTTTTTGTATTTCATTTTACAAAATATTTTAATAAAATGCATTTTTAAAAAAAAATCCCACTCTCATTGCACTATCTAGAGAATTATCAAGTCCTTTAAGGCATTTAAGGAGCTCTGGACGAGTATTGCCTAAGGCATTTGACTGCTAACCAGAAGGTTGGCAGTTAAAACCCACCAGCCCTCCTTGTCTTTTTCAATTCCAAAAATTATATGTAGTCATGGTGAAAATCTTAAGGAGTACAGAAGTATATTTATTTTCCTCCATGCCAGTATGTTTCTTCCTTTTCCCTCTGTTTACCTTTGACATGCCACTCAGGTGTCATCTCCTCCTTTGAACTTTCTCTGATAAGCCCCCCACACACATACACACAGCAGTGGAGTTCATCATGCTGTCCTCTGTACAAACTCAGCTTTACATGCTATTAATGCAAGTATCACATTGTGCTTTTATCTTTATATTAATTACAAAGTAATATATATATATACTCATTATAACAAGGACAAACATAAGTATAATCTCTATGGTACATACACACAATGGAATACTATGCAACGCTAAATAATGTAGAATCTGCAAAACACCACATAACGTGGATGAACTTGGAGGACATTATGCTGAGTGAAATAAGTCAATCACAAAAGGACAAATATTGTATTA